TTTACACTGTTTCTTTATTCGAGCGACGAAATATTGTTAATTTGCTAAAAAGACTATCACAACTCAAATATCGAAACATTTCAGGAGCTGCGATTGAAGTTTTAAACTTACTATCAAAACATGATTCAATAATATCATGAATCATGCTTTCAATAGATAAAATACTCTCTCGGGGCACTATGCCTAAGAAGCTCAAACATAATGTATGAGAGTTGTGAAAGTCCTTTAGTAAATGATAGTTATTCCTCACCTTTAGCCTAAATGCTTTTTTGAAATTTTTATTGCATACATCACAAGGATATATCTTTTTGGGATGAACGCCTAGCATGTGATTAGCCACAGCGGCCTTACTTTTATACTCTCCTCCGCATACTTCACATGTAAAAACTTTATCTTTATTTTTCGAGTGACGCCTTTGGATATGTTGGCGCAAATTACCCTCGTCCTTAAGCCAGCTATCACAGCCTTCAAATGTGCACTTGACTTTCGGACCGCTTTCTTCAAAATGCAAGCGCACATGCTTTTCAAACAAGGGTTTCGTTTTCATCTCTTTGCCACAAACATGACAAACAAAAAAAGATTTACGATGATGCACCCTTCCTATGTGACGTCGCAACGAGGCATTACAAGAATACCGACGATTGGGACACTGCTCACATATGAAATTTCGCTCGTTCATAGGTGTATGTATGTTTCGATGGATTTCCAGTCTCCTTTTTCGTGCAAACTTTTTTGGGCATAGATCGCAGCTAAATATTTTATCTGCATGGCAGTTCGCCACATGCTGCGAGAGAGCTTTTTGATCAGCGCAAATTTTATGACAAGCTTGGCATCTGAAAACGATAGTGAATTGTTATAGTAAACTGTTTTTCAACTGATGTTAAAACATACTTAAAAATCTCAGGATCGTCGTGTTTATGGGCGTGATGTACAATTGACAACCAGTGCAAAAATGTTCTATTACAGCATTTGACATATGGTTTTATATTTGGATGATTTAACCGATAGTGGTTTTTCAGGATTTCGAAGTCTGCGCAATCGAAAATACATATGTCACAGCTCATTGAAATGTATTTTTTTACCAGTTCATCATCATTACATTTGATTTTACCACGCTTTTGTCTCAACTCAGCAAGTCGCAACTCAGCAAGTTTTTTCTGTGACATTGTAAGTTTCTCTGAATTTGTACCAGTTTTTGTAGACTTATTTGGGAGATTTAGTGCATCACAATTCGATAAAGATTCATCTATAACAGGCTCTGTAGATTCCTGCAGGGAAAGTTGCACGGTATCGCAATTCGTTGCGTTTACATGTTCTGATTTCTTATGCAGTTCAGGCTCCTGTGGATTACGATACAATAAGGATGCATCTGAAACAGGTTCTGTAGACTTCTGTAGGGCAGGTTCTTGAGCATTACTATTCAATAAAGATCCATCTGTATATATTTTGCTTTTTTCAGTCAAACTAAGTTTATCTCTCAACTTCGCAAGTTTTTTCTTTGCCGTTGTAAGTCTCTTTCGATTTTTTTTTTGTTCTGTAGACTTTTTTGGTAGCAGTGCAATTTTCTGTGTATCACAATGCGATAAAGATGTATCTGCAGATATTTCTTTTTTTTCATTACACGTAACAACTTTTTTTTCTGTGGCTGTAGCTCCTTCTCGATTTTTATCAGCTTCTGTATCAATTTTTTTTTTTTTTTTTTTTAGGGGGAAGGCTCATGTGCCTTACAAAGCAATAAAGATTCATCTATTCTTACCTGAGAAACAGTTAAAATGTTCATCGTCTGCGGTGTTTAGTTTATCGCATTCTTCATTTAAATCGTCACGGATATCTATTTCAGAAGATTGTTCGGGTAGATTATGTTGATTACTTTGCGCTGCGTCGTTTGAGTAAGGATCTTCGGAAAACTCATTAGAATCAACATTGACTTTGGAAAACTCAAGATCCATGGATTCATTCCGTTTCCCTATTCTGGAGCAAGGAATTTCTCGGAAATTTTGGGTATAGTCGTCGACTTCGATAAACTCAGGGTCCAAGGATTCTTTTCCACACGGCTTGCCAATCATATAAGAATTGGTAACAGAAAACTCTTCCTTAACAACAACGCCATTGTCGATAAACTCATTTTCTACGTATTCATGGACAAACTCTTTCTCCACGTTACTAGCGCTAAGCATAGAATGCACCTGTTCTATCGTCACATAGAATTGGTGAAAGTTATATACTTTCGACCAACACATTGTGCAAATAACTGGGGACATTCGATCATCACCGCGGGGCTATAAAAATTAAGTTATGGTAAATGTGAATGAATTAGGATTTAAAAATACCTTGAACCAAAAGTGACGCCTGAGTATATCGGCGATTTCCAATTTTATGCCATCCGAATCAAACATATTCAGAAAGCAAAGAGATTCTTTTAGACAGAGACGGCATAACATAGCACAGGAGATTTGGAAAATACAAGCTCAATGAAATGAATTGTAAATTTCAGAAAAATAAACAGTAGTGCTGAAAGANGTTTTTTTCCTGTAAGTTCATGAAAAGTGTCAAACGATCAGCTGATTTACATGTGCAAACAAATAGTCTGTTCCTTTGAACTTCGGACTAAAACCTGTGGAACTGTCAAACTACAATTTTACTCTCTCAAGTGAGAGTAAAAGGAGAACAGATGCAGAAGTGCACGGGAACGCAAAAAGCACTATTTCCTGTAAAAACGTCAGTCGTTTTGTTTACATGTCATTGGTACAAAACTGATTTGGCTCAAATATCACTAAATAATTATTAATTGAATAGGTTATATTCAAATATTTCGTTCTTTACATCCATTTTTTTAACAAATATAAGGTTATTTGCTTTCACCGCTTTCTGTTTTTGTTTGCACATGCAAATCAGCTGATCGTTTGACACCTTTCAAGAACTTACAGGAAAAAAACTCCGGACTAAATCTTGTTACTTCGGCTGACTAGGAACAGTTGCTCAGTTACTCTCTCAAAAGTGTTCCCACTTACAGGTTTTATGTCAACAGGAACGACTTCCTGTAAGTTCTGACTAAATCCTGTAAACCGGACTGCTATTAGAACAGACTATATATTTGATAAAAAATGAAAGTAAACAACGAAATATTTGAATATGTATAGATTTTAATAATTATTTAGTGATATTTCAGCAAAATCAGTGTTGTACCATTGACATGTAAACAAACCGACTGACGTTTTTACAGGAAATAGTGCTTTTTGCGTTCCCGTGCACTTCTGTATCTGTTCTCCTTTTACTCTCACTTGAGAGAGTAAAATTGTAGTTCGACAGTTCCACAAGTTTTAGTACGAAGTTCAAAGGAATAGACTAAGGGCCGGTTGCTCAAAGCCTGGTTGACACTAATCCCCGGTTAAACATCGTTATCGACGTTTTCGGCTCCATGCAAATAACATGGTGTCGTAATGTCGATAACGATGTTTAACCGGGGATTAGTGTCAACCAGGCTTTGAGCAACCGGCCCTAAGAGATTCAGCCTACCGCGGTACCGCTAATCCGCTCTTTGTGATTTTGACAGAATCAGCTGTGTGCGTGACGCCATCTTGGTGCAATTGTTGATTATGAGCATACGAAAAAACCAAATTGTAGTGACGTGATTAAGAAGGCGATGAAATATAATAGCGCCGGTTATTCCTGGCAACGACTATTTATTTCTATAGGAAAAAATATATATGAATTTAATACAACATATAAAATTTACCTAATTTACGAACACTACAAATATACTCACCGCAGTTTTGCGCCCTTCCTCTGCTATATTCACGACACTACTAAATTTATCATTCGGGAGTGCAGCGAATAGAGCAAAGGAAAGTTCGAAAATAGCGGTGAGCTTTCATCGATAACAAGTAAGAAAGTCTAAGTTCGGGTGGAGCCGAACATTAAATACCCGGCGCAAGAATAAAATATATGTTTTTTCAACTTTCCGAAACCTACCGCTAGATGGTAAGCCGGGGTGTATCAATTTTAAGTAAATTAGCGTCCTTAAATTTCGAAATATTGCAGTTTCAAGCATTTCTGAAATTAACCATTATATGAGAAGCGGCCGTAATTTTAGTCCGATTTCAATAATTTTCAGCGTTTTGCTTTTATGTGGAAAGCACAATAAAAATGCCGAGTTTGGTACAAATTGGTAGAACGGTTACCGACATACATATATGTGATCATAAGTGGGCGGTGCCACGCCCATTTTCCAAAATTTTACCATTAAAGTATTTCTTAGTAAAGAATTGTTGCAACCATCAATTTAAANCATGGCTTAATCGATTTCTCTATTCATTCTGAGCATTTATGGATACGTTTTGGCTGTTACAAACAACCGTTATGTGAACAAAATTAATATACCCATGTGCACAAGTGCGCTGGTATGGGCGTTTTGCAAATTTAGGATATAAAATCTCCCACACCAAAAAACTTACAATTGGTTAACGCCGCTTCGATTTTCTTACAATTGAGCAATTGTCAAAAATCTGCATTTTAATCAAAAATTTTTAATGAAACTACCTTCTTTTTTGTATCATGAATCGTTCCAACCGAGGATCGAACCTGGGACTTGCAGGCTTGTAGTACGCAGCCCTCACCATTCGGCTACCATTAATGAATTTGTTGGGTGCTTTGTTTGCATATTTGTTTGCTCAGAGAGCGTAGAACACAAAGAAAATTCAAAACTAGCTGGACATCCACCTTGTCGTCGGTAATACAGTCTCCGTATACATTCAATTAAGTTCATATTCAATTTTTATTGGATTCCTATCTAAATTAAATTAGTACGGTGACTGCATTACTGATGGAAAGGTATATGTCCATGCTAGTTTTGTACTTTCTCTGTATTCTACCCTCTGAGTTTTCGTCAGTGTTGGCATCGAATATTCGCTTGATCCGAGTTAAGTTTGGGACTAACTCTAGGACTTAACTCTAGGACTTAAACCGGATCAGCTGCAGTTAATTTCCGAGATAATTCCGAATTAACGAGTTGATCCGGAACTACGCTGCCGTTTATTTAAGCTTTAACCTAACCTAAACAATCTTCGCATTAACTGCGAACAGCCCTTAGTTTGAAGAAATTTTGGTGTAATTTGTATATCAAAGAATATTTAATTTACTCCTCCACTATTTCGTTGCGTCCCAATTTTACGTTAAGATGGAATATGCTGGTTATTGGTTTTGTAGACTTTTCTGTTCCATAAATCGTTGGGAACTTCCATTATTTGTTTTTCGCCAATTATCCCATTCAATAGGATGCATTTTTTTCTTATGCGCGTGCATATTTGCATTGGAATTGAAAGTACGGGTACAAAAAGGGCACTTGTAGAGGATTTCACCAGTATGCTGTGCCATATGTTCCTACAAAAAATAGTTTAATAGGTATTTATTTATCATGCGACATAATAACAATTGATTGTACCCGCAAATATATCGCCCTCTTGAAGGTTTTTTTGCATACTCCACAGGTGAATACTATGTTAGAGTGTACCCGCCGCTTATGTTTGCTTAGTGCACACTGATTCTTACATTCCCGTCCACATATGTCGCACGCCACCATTTTGTCCTCTTTGGTATGCAATCTTCGAATGTGGCGCTGAAGGTTAAATTCGTCCTTTAGCCAATGGTCACAACCTTCGACTGTACATTTGACCTTTGGGCCACCTTCTGCGGAATGTGAGCGTACGTGATTCTCGAAAGACGCTTTGTCCCGTATCTCTTTAGCGCACACATAACAAACGTTAGTTGCACGTCGATGTCGCATGCAAATGTGAATTTTCAATAAGTCATTGTTAGCAAAACGACTATTGGGGCATTGGTCACATATAAATGTTCGTTCATTCATAGGTACATGTTTGTTTCGATGAAGTTCTAGCTTTTTTTGTCGTGAAAATCTCTTAGGGCATTGGTCACAATGGAAATTCATTTCCTCTTCTGGTGCATGAGCGGAAATCATATGCCGAGATAGTGTTGTTTGTTCTGAAAAAACTTTTTGGCAATCTTTACACCTGTTAAACATGTAACAATAATAAAGTACATACAAGCAGTAAATTAGTAAATTATCATACTTGAAGAATTCAGGATCGAAATGTTTATAAGCATGCTGTACTATTTCGTGTGGATGGAATAGTTTCTTATTGCAGCAGCGCACATATGATTTAATTTTGGGGTGTTGAATTCGAAAATGTTTTCGTAGTGAAACATAATCCTCGCTGATAAAAGTGCACAATTCGCAACTCATTTGTATGTATTGCCTCACCATTTCATAATCTTCTCTTGACGTTTTAATGCCCGATTTTTCTTTAATTTCTACACGAGTGTCAAATTTTTCAGACCGAACTCGTGCAAGTACTTTTGGTTTTCTGTTAGCAGTTTTTTTAGTCTCCATGCTTTTCCGTTTTTTTTGTACTGTGCAACTTGACACAGTTTTGTCTATTAGCAAACTGAATTAAAACTTGTGCATTACTTATGCGCCCTCTTACCTTCTATGCCCTCTTTCGTATGGGTTGCTCCGGATATTTGAATATCTTCGTCCTTCGCGACGTTTTCAGTATCCAATTCACAAAATGGGTTCAACTGTTCACTCTCACTGTCGGAAGTTGCCTTATCCGAAAAACAAGATACCTCGGCAAACTCTTCCTTAATACCAACATCGGGATCGATGAATTCATTAGCTATTACTTCAGTAAAATGCTCCTTTTTAACATCATCAATACTAAGGGTAGCATGTCTCGTCTCCACTGTTACATAGAATTCATGGAAGTCGTTGACTTTCAACCAGCAACTGGAACAAATAACCGTCGATTTGTCATCTGGATGTGGCTAAAACATAACAGGTAAGATGAAAAACTAAAAATTACAAAAATCGTATTGTACCTTGAACCAAAAGTGGCGTCCAAGTATATCAGATATCCCCAGCTGCATTCCATTCTCATCGAATATGTTCACGAAACTATTGGAGTGTTTTATGCAAAGTCTGCATATCATATCTAGCAGTATCTATCTTGTACAGTAGCCTACCAAATCTAAAAACAATTGAGAAATTGGCTAATAAAAATAGAGATGAGCAATACTTCCGATTTAATCGAATGTCAGATCCCAGTAATACAGTAACAAGGTCCCAGCAAAAACGACCTAAAGCTTGATATACAGTTCAATGCGAACGTGAGCGTGAACTTTCGCAAAGGCAAAGAATTCCATTTGTATTCTTATGGACGCTCACACACATCTGTCAAAACTTGTCGTTCACATGCGAATGCTTTGCGTACGCACACAGTTGAGTATGAGCGTGAAAAAAGGCATATTATGCATTTTAAATTAGTTTTAAAGCTCGTCGGCGATTTCAAGCATCCGTTGATGGTTACCCCAGCGGAAAAGTTCATTATTTATTTAAGTATTGATTTTTATGGAAAAAGCGCCGCAGGCGAAAATTTTCATTATTTATCGAAGTATTGATTTTTATGGAAAAAGCGACGCAGGCGAAAATTTTTAATAAAAAATCGCGCGATTTTTTAAAAATTTTCATTATTTATATATATATTAAACGAAAGAAGATACCGAAAAGCATTGAACAGTGCACACATCTCATAAGGAAAAGTGAATTATTACGAAATACTAATACAGTGGCAGCACTATAGCTATTTTGGAATCTCGCGTTTCAGCTCGCAAAGATTGTCAACTTCTTTTTAATAACAAAATAATCTATCTAAGGTTGATAAAACTATGTGTTTCTTTAATAAATAAGTTAAATTATATATTTTAATAGTGTTTAAAAAGTGTGAACAGGTGATTTAGTGAATCTTTGTCGGTGTAATTGCCCATCGAAAACAACGAAATTTAACAAAAGTTTTTTGTTCATAACTTTTAAATGGTTAATAATATTATCTCCCCCCCTCCGGATTGTTAATAGGGAGGCCGAAACGCGTCGTTTGATACCCCTCCCGACTTTTCCGCACCTTTTTTAGGGGTTGTTACCGCACCCTAGAGAATTACCAGTTTTTATTCCATACTTCTGAAATATATTTTAATTCTCTATATTTTGATGTATCAACTATTGCAAAAAGTTAAGTAACAACGAAGATATTGGTCGAAATAAAAAGCTCACACTCACGCTCGCATTGAACTGTATATCAGGCTAAATAATAGAAGGTTGGATAACCTGGCAGTTCCCTCGCTCCAGCATTCTGGCTTAGCCAGTGTTGCTTTCTTTTTTGATTTATAGATACTACTAAAATAAATGGAGAAATATTAACTTCGTTTAAAAAGTTCAACAGGCAACACTGCCGATATTTTCATCGATTGTTTCGTGGAAATTCATTTTCTTATTGCGCAAATTCAAGTAAAACTATGTTCACATATCAATATTATCTCAATCAAAGCTCGTTTTTTAATCACCCCGTTTACACAGGCAAATCTCAGATTATTAGCCGTCAAATTTGTTGTGCTAGTTATTCTCACATCTCAAGGAAAAGTTATGTTTCTTCTCTGTGTCACCGTGATCACGTTTTTATGCTATAATAAGCAATATAAATATATTTTAACTTAACATTTTATTAAAAATACATTTACAAGCCTCTTTTACTTGCTAGCGTACATTTTTGTTTACTTTTACATTTGGCATTTCTCCTCTCTTCCGCAAAACAATCGATAAAACTAGGATGGACACCGAAAAGTTATCGGTTAAATCTGAGATTTTTTTATAATAGTTGCGTTCGATAACAAAATTAGCCAACACCAGCCAACAATCAAAATGAAGAGAGTAAGCGAAAATTCTCTCCCAAAGAGAAGAAAAAGCAAAAAAGTAAACGAACAGGAAATTAGCCATCACTTGCAAAAACCGGAAGAAGAAGACACACCAGCTGACTTTGTTTATGTTTTATTTGTAAACAAACTGAAATTCATTTTGCCTCCATGGAAAAAAGGAAAGTGAACGTTCAATGTTCGCCAGGAACATTTCTAGAAGTAAAAACTAGTTGGCGCTATCATAAAGTCACATAGCAGACAGCCAGAAAGCATATAAATACCAAAACTCGAAAAATGCAATTTTGTTTGTTTACAAAAATTGTAACCATATGTTTTGTGATCATATGTTTTCGTGTTGGATAATTTTTGCTGAGTAAAATTTTGCCAGTACAAAATAAACGCTCGTCTTGCATCAAAATGAACGCTTGCTTTTGTGTGTTGGATAATTTTTTGTCGTTATCGAACGCCATCCAGTAAAAATTTGGAAAAACGATTACAAATTTTTGACTTGTCGAACGCAACTAATTACAGATTCAGGGCCGGTTGTTCAATGTCTGGTTATCACTACTTGCCGGTTAAACATCATTATCGACGATTTCGACATCATGCATACCCTGCAAAAATCGTTGGACCATGTAGTCCAGTGCTCGTCAAACTTTTGAGTGTGACGGACCGGCTGCAGTTTTTCTATTACGTCGGGGACCGGTACCTTTTTTTATTGATTATTTTTCGTTTACGAA